TTAGTTTGGGGTTTTTTTTAAGGAAAAAAAAGTAGATTACATAACTAATACATTATTCCCCTACAATATTATTTGGCAGGGTGTGGGAAGTGGACAAAAAAACCAACCCAAACCACAAAAAGTAACAAACCAAAAAACTCCTACCACCCATTACTATCAAGCTAGCACGCATTAATATTTTCAATCTCACAGCATCACGAAATACTCAACACACAATTAATCAAAGCGCAACCCATAATTGAAAAGAGCACACTTCACTCCGTCAAGCGATCGCTGCTGTGTTTATGAAAATGAGCTTCACCCTTTTTACAGGCAAAGGGCAGAGGGATGCTCTGCACTGTTCACACCCAACACAGGGAGTAAGTTTCCAGGAGAAACACAGAGCTGGAGGAGGAAGGATTAGGAGATTCTCCTCTTAAGAAAAAAAAAGACAGTTTGCTGCCACTGCATGTTTTCAGATACGCTTCCTGAGGCAACGCAGATGAATTCAGCCCAAAACCGCAGGACAGGTCTGTATTTTACTAGCGCTATCACCCACCCACCCCAGGGAATCAGCTGCTCCAGGCCAAAGAGCTCTTTATCAACCCTCACCTGGCTCTTGGAATGCAGTGAGGCTAGCTCCTTCCACATACAGAGCCCAAATTACCCCCCAAAACATGAATTTGTATCTAATTTTCAAGCCACCGCTGGTTATCAATGTATCTTAACACACCAAGATCCTGTTGATTTCATTTCAAACTACACATAATCAGAATTTCCTTAAGCTCATTCCAGGAAGCCTCAAGAAGAACCAGTTATTAAACATCCTCAAACTAAGTGACTTGACCAAAAGGTTATCCCTAAAACTTCAGCAGTAAAAACATAAGCCTTGAAAAACCTCAGTGATAATCCATAAGCCCTTTGTTATAGAACAAGAAGTTGCTACCATATTTCCTACTATCTCTCAACAAATAACGTTCCGAGTACCTTATGCAGGTGCTGTTAAAGAACTGAAGTCTTGCTTGAACCACTCACCTTTTCAGTTATGTGTCTTATCAGCTCGTACTACCAGAAAGCTGCGCTCTTTCTCTACACGGAGTTCTGTCCAAGCATACTTCTGTCTTCCACTAAAACCTTTTAGATGCAGCAAAGTGTATTTTAGCTGCACTCAGGGATTATCATCTGATGGATCAAACAGGGGACTGCAACAAACCAAGAATTCCTGAGTTGTAACCTGAAGCTTGACAAACACTAAACACATAATCATAAAACAGTAACAATTGATGCTTTAAAAATAGTAATAAAAAAAATGCTGTCATTACAAAGCAGAAAGTTAAATCATTACACACTACACCATGCTGCAGCTCCTAGGACAACACACCACAGCCCAGCTGCTCTGCTAGAGCTTTTGAGCACTCCTGCAGACAATCTCAGCCTCACTAGCCAGGGATGGGTGGCAGGTGAGCCTCCTTCTGCTCCCCCATCCACAAGCCTGATTCATCTCCCACGACGACAGCGAGACTTTCGATGTCCAGTTCAGAAAACTTGTTGCGACTTGTGTAGGTTACTTAGTTCAGCAATGCAATAATCCTCTCTGATGGCTAATTATAGCTGCAGGGAACAAACACAAGAACTTAAAGTAGTACTTTACAATAATGTACGACATCGTGGGCTCGTGGAATAAATAGCAGGACAAGAACATTGGTGCAACAAGATATACCCCGTTCAAAATCACAGAGGCAGGAAAGAAGCTGGGTAGAGGTTGCATTGTTTATGAAGAATACATATTATTCACATAATCCTTGGGGATGGATGTACACACCACCACTCAAATTCAGGAAATGTTGCTGAATAAGGTAATGCTGGAGTCTACTATAAATAACTAGAAGAGAAGGTGGCAAAATTTTAAGAAAGACAAATGCTGGAAGAGCCAGAAAAGAGGAAAAGACTTTTGGAAAACTCGGTATCAGTATTCAGAGGAAACCAACAAAGGCCAACAAGGACAAAAATCCTTGCATGGCAGTTCCTGGTAGTAAGGCACAGCAAACCATCTCAAACAGGACAAAACCGCAAAGTAAAGCATTAACCCATCTAAAACCAGGAGCGTGAGCGTTTGAAAATATTAAGATAGGGAAAAAAATCACATATATCACATACATCTCAGCCTGAACATAAATTATTAGCAATGAACTGTGAATAAAGTTTTATTCAGCTACATGTGGAAGTCAAAAAGGCCAAAAGCTGCTGGATGGGACAGACATATGCCATGCAGTGGGTTGCACAGGCCCATGCCATCCCCTCCCAGCCCTGTGGTTCTCATCAAACACCTTTGACGAGAGTGTGATGTGATGCTCTCGTTTTCGAGACCCCCCCCTACAGTGCTGCCTCCAGCTCTGGGGCCACCAACACAAGAAGGACATGGACTTGTTGGAGCAAGTCCAGAGGAGGCCACGAAGATGATCGGAGGGCTGGAGCACCTCTGCTGTGAGGACAGGCTGAGAGAGGTGGGGCTGTTCAGCCTGGAGAAGAGAAGGCTCCGGGGAGACCTTAGAACCCCTTCCAATACCCAAAGGGGGCCTACAGGAGAGCTGGGGAGGGACACTTGATCAGGGAATGTAGTGATAGGACCACTAGTTTTAACCTGAAGAGGATCAATTTAGATTAGCTATTAGGATGAAATTCTTGACTGTGAGGGTGGTGAGCCCCTGGCCCAGGCTGCCCAGAGAAGCTGTGGCTGCCCCATCCCTGGAGGTGTTCAAGGCCAGGTTGGACGGGGCTTGGAGCAACCTGGTCTGGTGGGAGGTGTCTCTGCCCATGGCAGGGGGGTTGGAACGAGATGATTTTAAGGTCCCTTCCAACTCTAACCATTCTATGATTCTTCAGGAAAAAGCGGTGCACGCAGCGCCTTCTGGCACTTACAGATGAGATGACAGCAGGCCAAGGCCGTATGAGGGCACCTACGGGTTTGGCAATAGCCAAATCACAGACTCATAGAACGGTTTCAGTTGGAAGGGACCTTACGGATCAAAAGAACCTTTAAGACACCACCACCAGAACCCTGTTAAGAGCTTCACACGCGGGGGGTGAAACCCTCCATGAGAGCCGCGCCGCGGCCGGCGGATGGCAGCACCGCACCGGCACGGGCCGAGCCGCGCTTCCAGCCGCCTCCGAGCCCCTGTGCCAGCCTTACCTGA